CCAATTACAAATAACACTCAATATTCAAAATCACACAAACCAATAATAAAAACACCAATAGTAAGCACAGAAGCAGCATTAGCAAGATGTTTGGTGTTTGTAACAGTTGGCTGCTTCTGTGGATTACTATTGTCAATTGGGCTATTTAACCTTTGTTGTGGGCTAAGAGTTCGCATGGATTGGACTTCAGCAGGAGGCACCAACAAGGCAACAACTTTGTTTTGCTTATTTTACACAGTTTTGTGAGCCTAGACAACCCAAATACTTCAATTTTGTGCGTTGTACTTGGCAACAATTGGACCAGGCTCAGGCCTTTTGAGCAAGCTTTGGGAATGTGCTCTAGCTAGCTGCTATATTTTTTTTGGTTGCCGCATTGATATAGGCGAGATTTGATCCCACTTCTAATACATTAAACAATTAAGGCAGCTGACATCTACACATAATAATGAGTAGAAGTGATCAACAACGGCTTGGTCTGGTAGCTTGATTGGGCCACCTTGAAAAAATTGCGGGTTTAGACAATTTTAAAAACATGTTTTTAGTTCAAAGTTTGAAAAGTCTGTTTTGGCCCGTTAAGTAAGATACAAGTAATTTTTCGGTCCATCCATATGTAATGGACCAAATTATGAGAGGAAGTCATTGGAAAGTAGTCAAAGTGCTCATGGCAACCGAGACTGGCACATTACTTTATGTTCTTCGTCATAACTGGGCAACTAGCGACACTGGTCTTGAAGGCTTTGAGAGGCCAATTATTATGAGGAGAATGGGATTTGTGGGTTTTTGACATTGGATTCGGCTTTGTAGGGTTTGATGAAATTGTGAGAGGTTCGACTTTGGTACTTCGGGATTTGACTTGGACTATTGTGGCTTACTATAATGGTTCAAGGCCGGGGAGCGATGAAAGACCCTAGTGAGCCAACACCTCTCACAGACTTATCCAGCCCAGCTCCACAGATCATATTTGAGAGTAGATGGGGAAGGTAAGGGATCCCCCTACTCCCAAACATTTTGTAATTGGTGGGGTTCGAACTCGTGACCTCAAAGTCACAGGGTGAGTTTCCCACCAACTCCATCAAGCTACACCTGGTGTATATTTTCAAACTTGGAACGGAGTATCTCATATTGCGCACAATACAAGTAACTAAAAATTTAAACGTCAAAGTCACAAGATGAGTTCCCCACCAAATCCACCAAGCTAAATTTGTTGTATATTTTCAAACTTCGTACGGAGTATATCATATTGCGCACAATACAAGTAACTAAAAATTTAAATCTTAGGATATGGTACCTCTTGGACCGATTAGATACAAACAGTTTCTCATACGCTCCAGGATAGAAATTGGTTGATTTTTTTTATGCAAGTTGTACATTGAAAGTCAATGCACTACTTCCATAAGAAGCACTTCCAAAAAAAACAAAGGTAAATTGAATTGCGTACAACAGAGGTAACTCCAAAGTCCACACATTAGACTCTAATCCTTTGTTTTTGAGGGATGTAAAGACTAAGGATAGCTGTATTCCCCCCTTCCCCTTCCGTTACAATTATTTTGTTTGGAAAATATCAAAGACGGTAGTGAATGATTGATTCTTTAGCTAAAAATATACGTTGTAAAAATAAATACAACTTTAACCCTCTACTCCATGTCTCCATTATTATAGTTAAATAATATCCTTCTGTTCCTTCATAGTGCCCATTTTTCATTTCTTATTGGAATGGTTGAAATTGAAATATAAGAGTATATTTAATAATAAACCAATAAAGTGCAGCAATTTTTTTTTAATTTATTTATCTATTATTATTTTTTTTAAATAAGTAATTAACTCTTTTGTATTTATTGATTTAACAAAGGTCTGAAACTATCGATTAAAAATAGCCCTGCAACAACCAAGATTTTGTGAGAAATTATCTAATAAAAAAATATTATAAGAAACTACCTAATAAAAGGTAAAATATTGTAGAATATACCTTTGGCCGGTTTTTTTTTTCATTTGACCTAAGTTTTCGACGTTGACCCACCGCATCTCGTAGCGCAAAACTACCCCACCAACTCAGAGTATTCTCAAACCACTCCTGAAAAAAGCCTTAATACCTTGAAAGCTAGATTTTTGGGGTGTTTCGAGGTGGGTCAACGGCGGAAAGCTAGATTAATGATGGAAATCCGGTCAGAGGTGTATTTTACATCACTTTAGGCTTTACTAGGTAATTTTTTACAACACATTTTTATTGCGTAGATTCTCACAAAATCTTGACTTTTAATAGGTAGTTTTGAAAAAAAATCCTTTACAGAACTTAAAACAGGGTGGACAAAACACATATCCTTGACATCTGCCAACTTATGTCTTAGCATCCTTTAATAATGACTTTTAGTTACCTTTAAACAAATATAAATAAATAAAATCAATAATAAATGGAAATTTTTACATTTGCTACCATTAAAACACCGTGTTTCACATTTGCTACCTGTTATTTTTTATTTATTTATTTATTTTTTTTTACTTTACTACCACCTAAAACAGAGTTTGTTAAAAATCACCACCACTTAACAGAATCCATTAAGGTTTCGTTAAGTAGGGCCAATATTTCATTAAATAATAATTTAATTTATTAAAAAAAAAAAAACTTAAAACACAAAAATCCCCAGTCGCCTTCCCCTCCCCGCCAGCCACTTTCCCCCTCCTTTTGCCAGCGTCCAAACTTCCCCTGAAGCGGGCGAACCCCCAAACCACTACCACCACCACAACCACTGTAACCCCCAAACCCGGTGACGCCCCAGACCACCACTACCGACACCGCAAACCCACCGAAACCCACGAACCTAGACCACCACCACCACCACCTACACCACAAACCCACTAAAACCCACGAACATGGACCACCACCACCAAAACCACAAATCCAGACCACCACCACCACCCACAAACCCACGAACCCAGACGACCACCACTAACAAACCCACCGAAACCACCACCACCCACAAACCCACAAAAATCACCAAAACCACCCACAATCCCACTGAAACCCTTTAATTCAGACTACCCACAATCCCACGAAAATCACATCCATGAAATTAAAGCGACGAAAACAACCACGTGTTGCTTCCCTTCTTGCCGCAAAACCACCATAGCCACGACGACGGCGACGGCGTTGCTGCTAGTAGTGCTTGCCATAGTCGAAATCAAATGGAGGTTCAGATAAATGGAGATTTATAGGAGAGAGAAAGCGACAAGTTGGCTAGGGGAAGGGGGTCGATTTCGATGGAGGGAACGGGGAGGAAGGCCAATTTCGATGGGGGAAACGGGGTGAGGGGTCAATTCTGGTGGCTCGAAGGTGGTAATAGCTGGAGGGGTGGCTGAACGGTGGAGTGGACCACACTAATGGGTCGATTTCGATGGAGGGAACGGGGAGGAAGGCCAATTCCGATGGGGGAAACGGGGTGGGGGTCGATTCTGGTGGCTCGAAGGTGGTAATAGCCGGAGGGGTGGCTGAACGGTGGAGTGGACCACACTAAAGGAAATAGTAACAGAATAAGGCATGTGGTAGTGATTTTTAACAAACTATGTTTTAGGTGGTAGTAAAATCTGTTTTAGGTGGTAGTAAAGTAAAAAAATAAAATAAAATAAATAACAGGTAGCAAATGTGAAACATGTTGTTTTTAGTGGTAGCTAATGTCAAAATTTCCTAAATAATAAATAAATAAATGTTACATTGTAATCACGAACTATTGGATGCAGGGTGGTAGTAAAGTAATTTTTTTTAACAGGTAACAAATGTGAAACATGGTTTTTTCGTGGTAGCAAATGATAAAATTTCCTAAATAATAAATAAATAAATGTTACACTGTAATCACAAACTATTGAGTGCGACAGTCCGCATCCAATAGTTCGTGCAGATGACTGGTGGTTGGTAGCGATTGGTGGTCAATTTTGGGTTGTGGTTGGTAGCGATTGGTGGTCAATTTTGGGTTGTGGTTGGAGATGCGGATGACTGGTGGTTCTGGGCGGATTGCGGCGAGTCAGAGTGTAATTTGACCGCGATTCGCTGGTGCAGGTCATAGGGGAGGTGCAATTGCAGGTCGCGTCTGTTGTGGACGGTGGTTGTGACTGATTGGTGGCGGTTCTTTGCTTTTGGAGTTCGCTAGCTGATGGTAGCTAGTTGGGCGGCAGTTGAGGAGCATTGGCGGTGTTGTTGTTGGTTGGGCAATTGGGAAGCAGCGGTGTTGTTTTTGTTGGTTACTCATGTCTGTTGTTAATGAGAAATCCCTTTCCCATTTGAAATAGAGAGAAAGAAAGAGAGGAAGAGGAAATAAAAATATACTGTATTTTTAAAAAACATTTTAGCTAACAAATGACGCATATAAGCCATTAAAATGAACATATCAGTCAATTGATGTATGATATTATTAGTCAATATTAGGGACATATAAGACATTAATAAAAACGTATCAGTCAACACAAAGAACATATCAACCAACAAATGAAACATATCAGCCAACAAAAGGAACATATATTCCAACAAAAGATACATATCAGCCAATAATAGGAATTTATCAACCAACAAATGAAACATATGTATCAGCCAGCAAAAGGATGAAATCAGCAAACAAAAGCAACATGTAAGCCAATAAAATAGATACACCAGCCAACACAATGAAACATATAAGCTAACAATTAAAATAATATATCAGCCAACAAATAAAAGATATCAGCCAACTAAAGAAACATATCAGCCAATTAAAGAAACATATATATATATATAAAAAAAACATATCTGCAAACAAAAGGAATATAACCAACACAAAAACCATATTAGTCACAATTGAAACATATCAGACAAGTTTGTCGCACATAATTATGCGTGCGGCAGTCCACGCCCAATACTTGTTATTGGATTCGCGATCATGTCTCTTTACTAACTTTAGCCTCTTTCCCCATGAAAAAAAAACCAGCCTCTTTTATTTTCACAACTAAAAATATTTTGTTAAAATTTTATCCCGTAAATATTCCCGTCAAAATAATGCATTTAGAAGAAAACATAGGAATCAGTTCATACATACTACGTACATACATTGCTTATTTGTGAAACTAACTACACTTTTCCCCTAAATTCCTCAAATTACGTGCTCACCCTAGTTTATGATCAACATGAAATTGAGGGTGAAGAATCAATTCTTATAAAATAATAACAAACAAAAAAATATGCATGTTTAGCTAACATACATTTGTTCTTCAATGAGCGAGCCTATCATATACATACATACAATGATACAAATCAACTCGATATGATAATGAATATTATCAATTAACAAACCTACAATGCTTCCTAATCTCACCATTAAATCCAGTAAGTGGACTAATATTCCCCATTTTAATCATAGCAGCAGTAAAATCCTGAGCCAAAGCATAGTTACTCTTAGCATAAAGCCTAACCCAAGCATCTTGTGATCCACCATTGAGCAACTCCTGGTCAGAATGTAGTAGCCCTTGCCTAGCCATGAGGTTCCGAAAATAGCTATTGTCGAAATGGTTCGGGGAGTTCATGTCAAGAGGGGCTAAATTATCATCCCCTCCTACGGATGGACATGTGCTCATCCTGGCTGCGACAAAGCCGGCATTGATGGTGTTGGCCTCGTTGTAGATATGGGACCGGTACGATGAGCATCGTGCCATGCCGATGGTGTGGGCCCCGCTTAGGGCGGTCATGTCACGGGCGGTTAGGTTCTTGGAGGAAAACATGGAGATAAGGGTTGCAAGGTTGGCTGTTGGTGGTGGAAGGTTGGCATTTGCTGCGCTAAAGCTTGCAAAGCTTGCGTCTCTCCTTCCTAGTGGTACCTTCCATCTAGGACCACCCAACTATATTTACAATTTCAAAAATAATTATATTCAATTGCTTATAAAAATATTTATTGTATTAAGTTTATTCAAATAAAAATAAAAATATATATTGAGTAATGATATGCACAATAATAAGTTGCATCTAATCATTAATATACTTCGTAAATTGACATTAATTTTGGAATGTACGTATGAATTCATAAATATTACGTAAAATCAGCATAACGAATGTTATATATCGTATACTAATGCATATAAATATTTTTTCCACTTATCTCTTTGTACGTAGTATGTAAGAACTACAGGAGTCGCAGGACGCTATATACAATAATACAAGTATCATTTTATGTAATGAAAGCACTCCAATATTAATTCTACTACCTAATTCTATTGGCTTATATAGAAATAAATGTGTTTATTTTTTTGAATGGCAGAAATATTAGACTATATCTTTTTGCCTTATATAGAAATAAATGTTTTATAAAACCTCAACTTTGGTCAGTCTTTATAAAGTAATCTTGATATTTCTGCTAACTTATTAAAATTCCAAATTGTCCAAAATGTTGTACACAGAGTATTAATATTAGACTACATTTTCTTTTTTTTAAAAAAAAAAAAAAAAAAGATTAGACTATTTCTTATTACTTAAATTAAAAAAACATTTATGAATTAAAAAAAAAAAAGTTAACCACTTAGCTTATGGAGTCCTTCAAAAATAAATTATGGAGTATCCTTAAATAAGTTAAGGAGGAAATAAAAAATTTGGAAGTATATATTATTACCAATTAACATAATTCTCATTTAAAAAATGTTTATGTAATAAAACCACTTGAATGATGTGATGGGAAACAAAAAGAATGAATAAAATCAATCAATTAGTCATGTCAACACATCTTATCAACAAATTTTGTATCGACAAGTCTTATCATCAAATTATTTATTATGAACAGTTTAGATAATATGACAACTAAATCCGAATGTTAAAAATGATTGACAAATGGAGCTAAGTAGCAATCAAAATTACTTACCAAAACAACTCCATCTCGTGCAGCAAGAGCAAGAATGTCAGAACAAGAAACTGTATTCTTACATTTAGCTTCCACATTCTTTTTGATTATATCAATCAATTTAAAACCCTTCAATGAATTTTGATTTGCATAGGCATTCTTCTCTCCTTTGAAAGCTGGCGTATCTTCTAGTAACACCGACCCGTCACAACCCTAAAATTTATAACCAACAACCAATATTATTGTAAATTGTATAAATACATAAATGGTTCATGATAAAATGTGTGACCATAATCAAAATTTGTTACTCGTATTTATTTTCATGAGATAAACTTGATGTGAAATTGTGAATTAAATATCATCATATATACAACACATGTATTGAAGGGTATAATACTCACATTTACAAAGCAATCATGGAAGAACAAGCGAAGAATAGAGGCACCAATACGCGGTTCTCTAGCAACCGCTAGAGCCATTGTAGTACGTACAATGTTGTGAAGCTTCGGGCAACTTCTTGCGTAGAAATTCGGCGTAAGTTGAGCATTCATAATGTTGGCACATATAGGTAGCCATAGAAAAGATATTCTAGCTATGAAGTACATTGATGATGAACCCATCATATATTAATAAAGCTAGATAGATTACTAATTTTATTAAATTTGGAAAAGTTATTAATTACACTCTTCAACTTACTAGGAACATTGAAGTAGTTTCTATATTATAAATGTAGAGAAAATAGCTTTATATGGAAACTCTATATATAACAAGCACAGCTGGAGAAAAAAACTTTATTTCATGATCATATATAGATGGCAGCTTAAAGCATATCTCAAGCTTTATAATTTCCGTGATTCTTCTCTACAAGTATTATTTTATATACATGTATACAACATTTTTTTTATTACACATTCGGGTGTACTGTATGTCCCCAGTCCCCTAGTCATGTATCATTGGGATTGATGAGTTGAATTGAGCGAATGTATAAGTATCATTAAATGTACCTTCACATAACTAGATATACGCTCATCCGTATTATATTACGGGTTCAACTTTTTTTTTTTTTTTTTTTAAAATATTTTTTTTGGGGTTGAAGATAATAGGTGATGGTAACAAAAGGGACTTCAACCCAATAATAGTTTAAGGGAATTTTGAAGGGAACGGTTTATAATTCATGACAAATAAAATGGAAGAAAAAAACGAAGGGAATTAAATTAGAGAAAGCGAAAGAAATGGTGTATTTTAGTAGAGTATAGTAGTAAAAGACAGAATGCAAAGACGCGTATGTTTCCTGGAAACAATTGTTAGCCCTTTTTGTCTGTTTAATGGATTGTCGGCAATTTATGGTTTTATTACATATTGTTTTTTGCTAAAATTAATTCACGTGAAAGCTGTTATTGGAAGCCCTATTATATCTTGTCAATTTTTCATTGTTTTTCTCTTATTAAATTAATTTGTTATTTTATTTTGTGTGAAGGGGAGTAATTTGTTTGTTAGGAAAATATCATATTTTATAATTATTCATTGAAAGAAAGTGAATTATTTGTGTCATTTTACTCATTTATATTGATGAAAAATTATTTAGTAGTTGTTCTTATATAAAAATTAATTATTTTAATTTTTTGTTGTTGGAAAATTTCGTTTTCCTTAAATAATTGTTCAAATTGTATTCTGACAAGATTATTTTGTCATGGTTTGGAAGCATGTACTACGTGTAATATTTATTAGAACTTTCAGCTCTAAGATTTTACAAAAATCTTTATAGCTCGAAAATTATATGAGGCTATTGAATCTCTTTAATGAAGGATGCATTATAAGTCAACGAGGGAATGCATTGCATGTAAAGATGTCAAAATGAATTTTGAAACTTATTTATTTAATTGAAGTATTGAACCAACTTTAAATTGGTGCCTATTAAAGAATAAACTATTATGATGTATAATACAACCCTTAACCTGCTTGTATATATACAAAGTATATATTTTAGAACTCTACTCCATCTGTGCAAGTAAAAAGAAATTTTAAAGAAGTTTAAGTTTGAGAATTTACGACAAAATTAAATATATCAACATTGCTAATATAAACTCTGTCCGTACCTAAAATATTGTACCTTTGGTGATTTCATGCAGTGAAAAATAGTGAAAAGCAATAATTTGTTAATAAAAATAGTTGCTTTAAAACTTGGAGAAAAGTTACGGGTTACATTAGAAATAGATATGTATGAGGGAAAATTTGTTGAACCAAATTATTTTAATGTGGGAAATAATTTAAACCTAATCAATAAAGAAAAACGTCTAAAATAATACACGTAACCATTATTCAGAAATGAAGTGAGTAATCATATACAGACAATGCAGTCCATCCTTATTAGAGTTGCATTAATAGTATTCCAAGAATAAATTGAGAGTATTAATTTACTATCGAAAGAGTAATGTAAACTTATAATTGTACAAAAAGTATACAAAGTACGAGAATATTTGGGATCAAAAATAGTTGGCCAAAATGACGGCTAATATACTGGATCGGATAGGGAGTGTACATTTTGATCAGATGACATTTCGTTCTTTCCCATATTCTTTTCTTGATTTGTGTGAGAATTTAAGTTGAGCTTCGAATTCGATGCTCTACTACTAGTATATCACTTTTCACTACCATTTCTATGAGAAAAAGTAGAAGATACTTGTATTTAAATCCATTGAAATTATTGCATGGCTATATTTTGCTTGAAACTCGGCAATCTTACTCACTTCCCTATATTGTTAATAATTTTAAAATAAATAAAAAAAACCTTATAATAATGTCTAAATGGCAAAATATACTTGGTCACTAATTATATTATCAAGGGCAAAAGCTCCTTTTTAAAGACTAAAGCTAGAGTTAATTCTAATCGACCCTTTACACTTTTGACATGACATACCGTCTAAATTACTCCCACAGCAGTCTATGACAATTTTTGAGTTTGCCCCACCCGATTAATCAGAGTTTAGTTTTGACTACATTTGGATCCGACCGATGTTATATACTACCTGACTTATGATAGGTGAATATTTCAACTAGAGTATTTTACATCCAGTGAGGCTCGAACTCGAAACCAGCGACATCAAACTGCTACCACTTGAGTCAACTCTTGTTGGTTAATTATATACTTCCTCCGTTTTTTATTAGTTGACATCGTTTCTATTATCACGCTTGCCAATGTATTTTTTTAACGATTAATATCTCTAATATAACCATTGTAAAATTATAAAAAGATGATATTAATAAAATAACATCGAGTCGATTTAAACAACATCCTGCATGACTATATTTTATCGTATCTATAAATCATAAAATCAAGTCAAAGTGTAGTGTGCGAATAGTATAATAGTTAAACGGTGTCAACTAATAAAAAACAGAGAAATTAATTATAATTACAATAGAATTGTTGATTTTTAGTATAAATCATATACTCCATTGGTCTCCTAGTCCTATCAAACCTAAACTGCCAGAAATAAACAACTTAGAAACTGATTGTTTGAAATTGAAAATGAATCCAAAATTGAAACCGAACATATCAATATAATATCGATTTGTACAAACTCGTACTTGATATTGGACTGACCATAGGGAACTTGACTTTTATATCAAATCAATGGAATACATTTTAATCTATTAGTGCACTTGACCTATTTTAAAATCAACATTGTCTTGTCCAATAAAACTCGTCTAAAGTTGGCCCTTTTAAACCATCCATGACCCATTTAACTCAAAACGTTTACAACTTGTTATCATTTTAGCTACTAACCGTGCATTATAAGTTTATAACTAGTTATAAGAATAGTATAGTATTGTGAGACTAATTATTACTATGACTAGTATATTGTAATTGATCTGATTAAGTAATTGATAGTTATACACTCCCTGTCTTTCTCTAGTTATATCCCTCTTGTAAACCTTTATTAAGACTAGACGTCTTCCTCTAGTTACCGCGCATGCGTGTGTATGATCAACACATGCTCGATTTAGGTGAGAGTGATAAAGTATATAACATATTTGTGGATCCACTAACAGAGAGCATATGGTATGATGCATGCTTTTGCGGGTGTAGGTGTGGGTGTGATTGTTTTGTAATCTTCAATTACATCCACATTACTGTGCCCGTTACTGTATGACTATAGGTTGATTCGTTGATTGATAGTTTTTTTTTATAGGTAATGGGAAACTATTGAACTTCAGGATAGTGATAATTCACGATCATATCTTGACTCGGCTAAGAGTAATTCGTTTTAAAAGCTACCATTCCAATATCGATCGAGGAAGATTCATCTTTAGAATTTTATTCAACTAATATATGGTGTGAGAAAATTCAAGATTTCATGCACCTAAACAACAGGGAAAGTCGAAAGTGCTGGGCCAGGACCACTATGCTCTATGCTAAACAATAAACACACGGAAGCCCGGTATAGGTGGCTTTGTGGCCTGGTTGGCCTCATTACACATGTCCATTCCTCCCAATAATATTACAATTAGTCTTGATAAGCCTGTGAATTATTTGGGCAGCTCTAGTTGTAAGATTGTTTCAAATGCTGTTGTTAAAACCGTCCCCATATGTATTTACATAATACGGAGTACTAATTATTGATATGAGGGATTGTTGAAGTGGTTAGAGCATCCTTCCGATTATCGAGATATTAAGATCGATTCTCATCATATGCCCTTGTGGCCAGGGGCGAAGCCAGAAATTTAGGAACCGGGGGGCCGATTTTTATATAGATTTTTTTTAAGGGGAAAAAAAACTATTAAGAGATATTAGGAAAAAAAATGCAATTATTAGAAATTTTAAATACCAATGTCAAAACTTGATCATCATATATTTATATAGGTTTTTTAAGAAAAAAATACTAATAAAAAAAGATATTATAATAAAAAGTTAGTCGGAAAAATAGGAAAGAAATGGCTTTGAGAAGAAGTAGAAGAGATCACATTTTTTTCATTTGTATATATTTAAAAAAAAAAAAAAACCTTAAAATCAAAATATATTCATTTAAAATGATAGAAAGTAAAAAAAGCCAAAATAAACTATAGATGAAGTATTGATCCCTTGATATCATGCCAATTGCCAACAAAACATTATCATATCGTACTCAAACTAACTAATTTAAGCAGCCCAACTTTGCTTTTATTTTGAGCTAACATTTACATTTATCCATAAAACTTGTGGGTGCCAACAATTAAAAAAACTAGGCTACCATGATGGACCGGGGAGGCCGGGCCTCCACCGGCCCCTCACGTACCTCCGCCCCTGCTTGTGGCTCTCTAAAAGAGGCAAACCCAATTAAATATCTTATATTAACCAAAAATGTTTATATCACCAATTTTTCTTTCTCCTCCCCCTCACATGACATTATTTCCTTCTCTCTCCTCCATTCTCATTGCCATAATTTTTTTCTCTCTCCTCCCTTCTATGACCATGCTTAAGATCGACCACCTTCGCGGCTCTAAATTGGTGGCCGGCCGGCGGCCAAACAAAAGACACCCTAGTAGCAAATTATTAAAATTGGGTCATACTAATCCCTTAGGGAAAGGGATACGCTCGTGCCAGTGGTGTTCATCGCGGTGGTGAGACGGTCGAATGGTGGTGCTAATGCTCAGTGGGGGTCGGCTGGTGGTGCTAGTGATTGTGTGGTGGTCAGCTGGCGAAGCTAAGGGTTGTGCGGTGGTGCAGCAGGTGGTACTAGTGGTTGTGTGGTGGTGACAGAGGGGAGAGAAAAGGGGGTTGGCTACTAAAATACAAAATTACTCTTGATATGGCCGATAAATTTACAAAAGTAGCCTTGATATTAACAAGTTTTGTAAATATAGGATACTCCGTATTAACTTGTATTTTCTCTTTCTAAACACTTATAAAAAAAAAAAGTCAATTCAGCCACTCTTCACCTCAACCTGTTATACCTTTATTCCTCAAATTTTGTTGTTTCCCTCCACTTCTTATTTTTACTAGAGTGTACCCGTGCAAAATGCACGGGTTATATATCACATAGTAAGATATTAAAATAAATACAATGTAGGAAGTTTTTTTTAAAGGAAAATTGTGGAACTTATGCTAGTGTGTTTTCTGTGCGCTGCAATACCGTAGGGTTACTGGTATAAAAATGGAGTAACCTGTATTATTATATTGAAATGGTAAATTCTTATTATACTTTTTGAGTAACCTTGAAATAACAAAGTAACCCCTAAAACACTGACAGCATAACCCCTATATTATTAAATAAGTAAGCTCTATATTCGTAATGGGTTAA